TCTGTCCTGTGGAGAGCCAGAGGACAGCTGTACCTCTGACAGCAGATAAAAGCTGGTTGACCTCTAGAATAAAAACAAATACAGAGTCTTGATCAGTTTCACTGCAGTAATCAGGAAGTAAGGATACACCTTAAGAGTGTGAGAAATGATTTTACAGCTTCACTGGTCTGTATTCAACTTCCTGTATGCCTGGTATATGTAGTAAGAACAGTTATCCAGGTTTCCTAAATTTGAGGATAGTAAGCATCTCTTGTCCTGCTTGTCTGGAAAGTGCTCGTGTGCCTTCTAAGCCGTGCTTCTTCATTGTTTCCAGAATTTCATCTGTAGTTTAAAGCACAATGTTACAATAAAGTTTATGCAGAAATCAGCTATAAAAGGCAATGCTAAGATGTCTGCAAAACATAGGCTGCAAAGATTATAATTTATCATTTTACTCTTTAAGACAGTAATTTTCATGCAAAGTAGTCTTCCATACAGAAGAAACAGAGCTTATACTAACTGCAGTTCCATATTTTGGTATTATCACAATGAAAAGTTCAATTATGAAGCTAATTTGCAGGAAAAACTGAAATTCATAGCACCTTCTCCCAAAAGCTGCCTAATCAATCAAAACAGTGAAAGAATAATCGTTGTCCTTGAAGCCACCTCATAATGTACAGCCCATTAAGCATTAGATCAGAAGGAGCAATTCCGAATCTCTTCTCTATGCAGGTCAGCGATAAATGACATCTCATTTCCAGGTGAAGGCTTTTTTTTTTTTTTACCTAAAGTCTACAAAACTATTCTCTTTTGTAAGAAAGGGTTGGACAGGCTTCATTACCTAGTTAGAAGATTTCAGACTTTGAAACTGTCAATCTTAGGTAATATGCTTATTGCCGCATTAAATTAAAATTACATTGGGTACTTTTTTGCTTATGTTGACTGAGGTCTGATAACCTCCAGAACATTGCTGTGATCAACAACTTGATGAATAGTGTTAAATCTAGTTTGGCACAAAAGGGTCAAAGGAGAGCAATTACCTGGATTATTTTCTTTAATTGTGACCAAGTAGAATAATCCTCCTGGTGAAAGCAAGTCTGCCACTAGTGGAAAAACTCTGTCCATTACTTCTCTGCCCCTTTTGCCACCAGCCCAGGATGCCTCTATTCCATGGCTTTTCACCTAGGAAGGATGAAAGCAAAGGCCATCTTACTCAATACAGAATAATACGAGTGTCAGTGGTACTTAGAAGAGAAGCATCATCATGATCTCTGTGTTCAGGCATCTGCCATTAGAACTCTGACAACTTTGATTCAGCAGATTGGTTTATGAAGCAAAATTCCTTCAGAACTACTCCACGCAAGATGAATGTATTGCTTTTGTTTCAAGTTCTATTTATAATGCTTAGTTGGAAGAGATGCGTTTTGTCACATGCTTTACGTGTATTTTCTTGTAATCTTGTATGATCTCATTTGCCAAGTGAAAGATGGCCAGTGAACCCTTTGAGTATCAAAATCAGACTCACAAACACAGAATCTGAGGAAGCAGAAGAAAAACAAAAATGCTAAGATATTTTTATAGAAGGTTTCCAACGGAAAATGCATGTCTAACAAGTCTTGATGGAGAAACTACCTCCAGCAATCTTTATTCCCACGTAGTGTTACTATCAGTTCTGATAAATCATTTTCACTAAAACAGTTGTTACAACTTGTACAGTTATTGACTGGTTCCACAAAACCATTTACTATTTTGAAACAAACAACAAACCTACACTGAAAATTAAGAAAAGGTCACTGAACAAGCTGAGTTTTTGTACCACAGCTTATTTGATTTGCCATCTTCTGTGACAGCAGAATTAGTTTTATTGTGGATTTAAAATCTATTTTTTCCTACCTCTTCAGAGGGTGTTACCACATATGGCGGATTAAAGAGCAGTAGATCAACTTTCCCATTTAATCTCGGTGACAATCCATTGACCTACAGATGAAATTAATAATAACAAAAACAAAGGAAACATTTCCATTTACAAAAAAATATTATGTAATCTTGCATATTCTTCTATTAATTTAAACTGCAACACAGACCAACCTAAACAATAACAACAAAACAATACAGTGTGTTGCATTAAATTACAAAACTTCAGCATTCATGAGGTAATAATGGAAATTCAGACCTACAAATGACCTAGGAGTAACCAGAAAGTATTTAATATATATTTTTTTAAATTCTGAACAGTTAGTTTTATATAAGAGAATAAACTGAATTTGAAGCCAATCTTCTGTAATACAACTACATCACCACTCTAGAAAACAAACTATTTGTCCATCTGTCTGTGCTACATGAGCCCGATAATACTGGATTAGTTAAAAGTACATGTAGATCCATGTCTATTTTGTTTACTTCTTAAGTGCAATGCACTGTCAACTTTGGTTTGGTTCCAAACACTTCAGCCTGACTCAGGAACTTTCTAAGTGTGAGAGAAACAGAACAATTCAAACAGTCTTAAGACAACGTTACATGAAATGTAGAAGAGCGAGAGACACATATTACAGACATAAAGGTATTATTTTATTCTTGCACTTTGGCCTTTCATCATTTTTTTCATCTGTCCTTATCAAGAGAATATTTTTCTCTTGGACTTTATGGTTACTTTTCAGTGTGTCTAAAAAGTAAAATGGAAATTATGAAGAAGGTATTACTGAAACATCTGTCTTACCAAGTCAGTAATGACTGGCTGAAGGTGAACATTGTTGAGCAGAGCTGTCTCCAGTGTACAGTAAGCTGCCATCGGATTGATATCTGTACATCTTAAATAAAAATATTAGAAAATGGAAGTTAACAGCTACTCGACCTGGAAGTTTAACACTGCAAACTATATGCTAACACAATATTGGTGAGTACCCTTTACTTTGCAAGTAATAGGAAAAAAGGGACAGGAAAATACAATGTATCAGCAGTTACACCACTCAACACTGCCCTGGAAATTCTTTAATGACTGTCTGAAACCTGAAGTATGTGAAACAAACATTTAGCAGGATGTTTACCTTTTCAATGCCAGCTCTGTGTAAGTACGTATGCATACAGTTGCTAATAAAATTTAGTTACTGCCAACAATCAGGTAACTAGTACGTCATCAGAACTCAGTAAGACTACTCAGTGGCTAAGATTTAGGATTCAACACGGTAAACACAAGTGTAAGCTCAGCAATTTGTCTAAGAAGTGGAAAAAATGAGTTTAACCACACCACTGCTTAGTTGTTACAGAAACTGAAGTAAATACTTTAGGCTCCCTTCACTTTGATTTTTTGTATCTGTAGAACCGAGCTCGCATTTCTTTGTGAGAAGTATAGCTTTTGACTGTGCAATGGATGTATTTTGAGGACAAAGCATTCTTTGTTATTTCATGCCACAGCTTCAGTAAGTGTTGCTGTACTTACAAGTAGAGTGCGCTGGATCCAATAATGGAAGCTAGAAACGTCGAAACCACACCAGATCCTGACCCTATCTCAAGGCAGATGGCAATTCTAAAGACAGAAAATTCTGGGTGACTGTTTTTTTTGTACCATATAAACCTGCTGCCAAGGTGCCCTTCTCCCAAACATGCTGAAATACTTGCTGGGCCCTAACAGCCCACCTTGTGTGGGCTGCTTCACAGCGACTGCCAGCTCCACATGCGCCTATATAACCGATTCCTGTTTATCACAGGGCAATTTAGGAAGAACTTCTTTACCGAAAGGGTTGTTAGACATTGGAACAGGCTGCCCAGGGAAGTGGTGGAGTCACCATCCCTGGAAGTCTTCAAAAGACGTTTAGATGTAGAGCTTAGGGATATGGTTTAGTGGAGGACTGTTAGTGTTAGGTCAGAGGTTGGACTCGATGATCTTGAGGTCTCTTCCAACCTAGAAATTCTGTGATTCTGTGAAACGTGCCAGTTCTCCCGTGCCTAACACTACAACTTCCACGAACCACACCACAGCCCAGCCCCGGCTGCGCTCCTCCGGAACCCATCGCAGACCCAGCCCCCCGGGCAGCCGCTGCCAGCCCCCCCCCCCCCATCCTGCCTGAACACCAAGCCCCGCCCCCTGCCCTCAGGCCCCGCCCCCTGCCCTCAGGCCCCGCCCCCTGCCCTCAGGCCCCGCCCCCTGCCCTCAGGCCCCGCCCCCTGCCCTCCCATTGGCTGTTCCCGCCCCGCGCTTCCCGCCATGCCGCGGCTACCCGGCGTCCCGCAGTCCCGCCGCGTCGCGCTCCAGCGCGTCGAGCAGCAGGAAGGTGTCCTCGGCGGGCGCGTACACCTCCCCGAACCGGCACACGTGCTCGTAGCGCGGCGTGGGCACCGCGGGCACCGCCATCGGCGCGCATGCGCGGACCCCCCCTCCCCTCCCGGACCGCCCTGAGGAAGCGGATGGGGGAGAGGGGGCGGGGAGCCGCCCGGAGCCAATGGGAAGCCGCTGGTCACGTGGCCTCAGGGGGGGGGGGCGGAGGGGAGGAGCTTGGCTGCGTCATGGCGGGCAGCTCGGCGTGTGGGGAGGCTCCGCAGCGTTACAGCGGTCTGCGGCGAGCCTGCAGCACCCCCAAATAAAACCGGCACCCTGCTCGTTACCCTGAGTCAGTGCTTCCCCGGGCAGCCAGCGGAACTTATGGGGAGTCATAATTAATACATTAGCCACACACAGAATCACAGAATCACAGAATTTCTAGGTTGGAAGAGACCTCAGGATCATCGAGTCCAACCTCTGACCTAACGCTAACAGTCCCCACTAAACCATATCCCTAAGCTCTACATCTAAACGTCTTTTAAAGACTTCCAGAGATGGTGACTCCACCACCTCCCTGGGCAGCCTCTTCCAGTGCCTAACAACCCTTTCAGTAAAGAAGTTCTTCCTAACATCTAACCTAAAACTCCCCTGGCACAACTTAAGCCCATTCCCCCTCGTCCTGTCACCAGGCACGTGGGAGAACAGACCAACCCCCACCTCGCTACAGCCTCCTTTAAGGTATCTGTAAAGAGCGATAAGGTCACCCCTTAGCCTCCTCTTCTCCAGGCTGACACAGAGCAGTGTGGTCACCTGGTCCTTAGCATCTCTGCTCTGTGTCCCCTCCGTGGGGGTAAATCAGCGCAATCAGCCAGAAATCCATAACCAGAGATCCAGCATTGAGTTTATAATTCAAGGATCGTTTTTGTCCTGGCACAGAAATGAAATCATCAGGCTTCATCTTAAAAGAGTTTAGGTTGCTCGCACCACTGCCGAGCACAGAAAGCCAGGTCTAAGAACTCAAAAGTTCAAGCATGTTTTCAGAGTAAATTTATTCCTGGACCTGATCTTGTATTACCTTTTAACTTGAAATGTTCTCTTCACTTAATTTATTCCCCCCAAATACATTTATGAAATATTGTCATAACCCATCCCAACCTTCATTTTGCCAACACAAGTAACTGTTGTTGCCTCCTAGTTTATCTCCTAGTCATGCTCTGTCCCAAATTCATTCTGGTAAATTATTCCTTCTTTCAATATGGTGTCTGCAGATAGGCTATATGAGATTCTAGCCTGTGAGAAGATACTAATAGTGTCCTTTCAGTGCAAAGTCCTTGACTGATGCCTGGTAAAATTATCACATTTGTGTCAAAAATAGAACATGACAACAGAGATTAACATTAACCTGTTTCTTCTTCCTAAATTCTCTTCATTAGCATGGAAAGACAGGTTGCTTCAGGGAGCAGTAATGAGCAGGAGCCTCACTGGAGACAGTTTTGGGGTTTTTAATGCAAAAGGAAATTCAGTAGATGCTCCTTCATTTCATCCGTCTTCCCAATGATTTGCTTCTGCTCCAGAAGAACAAGTAGTTATAAAACCGATTAAGTTTACATAAAATTCCATTACTTTGGCAAAATGAAATCATGGTAAGCAGCAGAATTTTGCACTCTGTCCTTATTAGGGAAATTAATTCTTTGGATATATATCTTTTTAAATCTCTACAGGTGGTCAGGCTTTGGAGTGCAGTAGAAGGAATGACTTCACCATCTTCAGCTGTATGAATTGTTGGTTTTGGCTGTTTCATAGCTCATGAAAACTGGTTAATTATTATTGTTTGTTTTAATACTTATAAGTCCTTCTGGGTGAATTTTATAAAACATTTATTTTTATTGCTTATATAACTACCTAAAGTGTTTTTCTTGGTAGACAACTGTACTGTTTTTGCCAAAACAGATTCTATTTCAATTTGGGGAAATTGTTGGAAAGTTAATAGTCCCATTTTCAATGGTGCCCATGCCATGTTATTAAACTCAGCTTTATGGAGATGAAAAATTGTTCTTGACAGGAATCATAACCATTTGTTTACCCTAACTGAGCTGTATGGCCCTATCCCATTTGGAATTCAGTGCCGGTTCTCTCACACAGCAAGGTTTAACCCATAACTTCCTGGCTGCCTGTCAGCCCTCAGAGACCTCCATCATAAACTTCTCAAACATCTCGTGGCTGCTTCTGGCCCTCTGTGTCCTGGAAAAAATGTAGACTGTGCACACTTTTTTTCTGTGCACGTGAGGCAGTGGTGCCAGCAGGAGCTGCAGTGAGAGAGCTGCTAAGAGTAATCTGTAAGAAACCACTTTAACCTATGGAGTCCAGCAGGCAACTACATCATATAACCTCTTTTGTAAACTGAGCAAATGTCTTTGTAGAAGTAGCCAGGTTTCTTATGGTCAGTATTCCTAGTGAAAGGCTGTTACAGCACTTCAGTGCCATGATGATTAGAAACCTTGTAATTCTCAGCCTTAATGTGGTGGTGATAGGCTTTATACTCACTCATTCTTCTAGCAAATGTGTCAGCTTAAACAGGTCCTTTCACAGTTTTTGTTTGATGGATTAGTAGATGAAAAAAGGCTCTCATCAGCCTTTGTTTTGCTTCACTATGTAAGACGTGCTCTTAAAAGTTTCCTGTTATAAAACATTCTCTTCATTTCTCTTACCATGTTTTTTGTCTTTCTGCCTGTGGATTCAAGTCTGAATTGCGAACGTGACTTCACCCTGAACGTGACTTCTACAAAACATTCCCAGTAATGCCTTAGTGGTGTTTTGCAAAATGAACTGGTTTCTTTATCTGTCCCAGAACACCACAGGATCATGTTTGCATTCTCCTCAGAAAAGTGGTTTCTTACCATTTTGTGCTCATCTGTTTTTCCTTAGGCTTTTCCTCAATGTTTTCCAGATATAAAGTTGACTATAAAGCGAGAATTCTGTAGCATTTTATTATTTTTCCTAGTCTGCTCTGCATGTCTGTTGCTCATGTTCTGGTTGTCTTGCTCCTGTGTTTTCTCCTGACTTCATGCCCTTATCAGAGTGGTGGCAAGGATAGTGATAAAAACGCTAAAGTAAACTCAGCCCCAAGATCAATCTTTCAGGAAGCCACCTTTAGCGACTTCCTTTTAACTTGATACTGCCCCTTTTCAGTATGATGTATGAGTAGCTCATCTGTTTTCAGTTCCTTGTTCATGTTTCCTCTGCCAATGCTATCATCTCCAGCTTAGTATATACTTTTCCACATAACACCACATCAGAAGTTGAATGGGAGTCTGAGTAGATTCAGAAATGGAGACAGACACTGCAGTAATGTAGCAAGATATACTGCTGTTGCCATCATGGCCAAAATCATCACATGTCCTCTTGTTTTTAATCTCTATCCCAGTTTAGTGGTACACTGCTTCTTTATTTCTTGTCTTTTTGAAAATGTGTGCAAAACTTTTTGCTCTGTTTTAATATCTTCATTAAGATTATTTCAATTTGATTTAAACAATTCTTATTGTAGACAGTATTTCCTAGCTTCTAAGGCATAGCTTTTTACTGATCCATCTTCCCCCCCCCCCCCCCCCCCCTTACTTTTTGACACTGCATATTAATAATATCTTTCTTGAGACAATTATTTAACCAGTTAGGTCTGAAGCATATTCTTACACATATGCATTCCCAAGTCTTTGGACAATTATTATTTTTACCCCCCTCAGATTACATTTGCCTTTCTAATTGCATTACTGAGTTCCCTGGCCATACCAAAGGCCACACTCTGGAGTTTATACTCCGATTAATCTTCTCCACAGATACTGTTACATGAGTCAGTGTTTTTTTTTACATACTGCTATTTCTTTTGTATTTCTGCAGTGAGTAGATGATTGAATCTTTGTTCGCTTCTTTACTTCCCTACTGACTGATGAAAATTCTTGCCCTTACATCATGACATTGCTTCAATACACCATGGCATGGTAATGTTTAATCACAGCTGTGGAATTTCTAAGTGCGCTATGATGACATACTAGAGAGTAAGAATGATAGTTACTTGTTTGTAGCCCTTCCTGAAAAAAAATCCCAGAGTGCATACTAAACTTAACAAACCAATTACGAACTATTATATTGAAGGAATTACATCACTCATCATTGAAATGCAGCTACCTCAGGGAGAAGGCAAGAAACATTTTAATAGTGTACAGAAGTATTTCAACACTTCAGGAGAGAAAATGAATAATACCATAATCAACTGAGCAGAAAGAGAAGGTTTAGGTAAGTAGTTATATATAATTATTTTAACTGGATTTAAGCCAGAAATCAAGGAAAAATCTGTTGCTAATGCAAAATAAATAAATAAATAGACTTGGGATTTTGAAGTCACAAACTATCAAGTCCTTTGATTTACATTACGTCTTAAAATACAACACCTCAAGCAGTAGAGATGTAGTGGAGCTTTCTTTTATAACTGAGTTACTAGCGTTGCCTCCTTTAGAGGTTAGGAATGATGTTTGATCTCCCCAAGAGACAGATTGGCTTCTTCAGCTATTTTAAGGGCATTTCTGCCTTCTCCCCGCGCCCCCCTTTCCCCATTTTTGACTGTTGAAAGGAAAATAAGACTAAGGATGTTTTTTAGCACTGGTAGCTAAAGAACAACCAGCAAGATAAGAAATTCACTTACTTCCTGCCTGCCAAACAGTGAGGTGCAGGATCATGACTGGCTCGATCATTTTGTCTCTCACGACTTTGAATGGAGAATTCAAAAAGAAAAGGAGGAAATAATATGCAGTTACATGTCAATATACTCATATTCCTTCATGATTATTATAAAAGAATGGGAGTCCTTTTAAAACAGTTAATAATAACATGGATTACTCTAGCCCCCATGTTAGTCTGTCAGCAGTAATCATGGTAGTCTAAAAAGCAACTTGTATTCCTAGTACATTTTTATCTGGAATCATCACCTACAGGAAGGTTAAGAGGTTCATTTAGCATCTCTTGCAAATAGCAAAACTGTAACACAGTCATGCTCAGTAGGCAAGGAATTTACCAAAGAAACAGCAATTTTGAATGTGTGAATGTATGCATACATAAAACAGACTTTTTTAAAAATTACATTATTAATGAAATGTGTACATCTGCAGGGAACAATGTGACATGGGAGAAAATCATACCTGCTAGAAGGTTATTTCTTCCAAGGCTGTATACAATAGAAAAGAATCTTTAGGCTACATATTCAGCGAGCACATTACAGAATGAATCAGTTGTCACTCTTCAGATCAGTTGCTGTCATAGAGAAATCAGTGAAAATCTGTTTAACAAATGCAAGAGATTAGCATTTAACAAAGCTAATATATGTGCATAAAAATACCTTAGGTTATAATAGGAAAGAAAATAAAATCAGAAATATTGTAATACTGTTATATATTGGTGTTTATATATATGAACACATATAGTAGGTATACTATTATATATATACAGTTATGTGATGTATATCTATACACATATAACATTGTGTATTTTTTTTTAAAGAAGCTCATAAATGGTTGATGGAAAGCTGTTGAAACTAGGGAAGAACTGACTTTCTGGAGAATATATTAGGATGCTTGAGAAGGGAAGAGTAAGAATAAAATGCGATTGAAGCTTATAAAACTGAATGCTGAAAATACATTGCACAGACTGAAGAAATAGGAACTTTAAGTGAGTTCTCAAGAACCCATAAAACTCACAAGTAAGAAAGACTTTTTTTCCACAACATGTAATTAAATAATAGAACTAATTTTCAAAATATGTACTTGAAGCCAACAGTTTGAAGCAATTTAAGGAACAGGTATTTAAAACATCAACCCTTTTGCTTCAAGGCTTGCAGCCATCCACAAATGGTTATTTAGAATAAGATATATTAAACAGTCAGGTTATTAAAAAAATATGCACAATTATGCACTTGGCTTTAATTCTGATGGGGTTATTCTACATTAAGAATGACTACTGAGAGTTGTTGATAGAGAATGAACATTTTTTGTTGATTCAACGAAGGACGTTGCACCAGGAACATTGGGAGAAACTCACTGATTCAATTTGAACTGAGTTATCTTAAGTTATTCTTGGTTATCCAAAGGATATCCAAACATTGTGAGAAAGTTTGAGGTGATATTTCTTAATCTTGCTCTTTCTGTAAAAAGTCTTTTGATTTAATTACCAGTTGAAGGAGTGACTTTAGTGGGGAGGAGGTCTCTGGTCCCACCTACTGCCTTGAGCCGACCCAGCTCTGGAAGCAGACCAGGCTGCTCAGGGTGTTCACCAGGCTGGTCTTGAAACCCTCTGAAGATGGAGCCTGGACAACCTCACTGGCAAACTGCTCCACTGCCTGACTCTCCTCAGGGTGAGAGCTTTGTTCCTTTATACCCAGCTCAAGCCTCTCTTGTTTCAACCTGTGGCCATTGTTTTTCATCCTTCCAGCACAGAACTGGTCCCCCTCAGTTAGCTGTCACCTAAAAACTTGCTTGAGTGTCCTTTATTATACAACACACTTGTTAAAACATCAGGAAAAATACCCACCCTGTAGAAGATTGTACCTTCCTCTGGCTGATAATGCTGGTACTGATTACATTGTCACCAATCTTAGATTAACAGGCCACAATTCTTGCATTTCTAAATGTTATTTTTCTTTTTATCTTTTTGTTTGGATGTATTATGAATATTTTGCCAGCACAGTCTTATCCATATTATTTTCTGGACAATGTAATGTGTTCAGATAGTCAGCGCAACTGTTATGAAACAAAACAAAATCTGCATGTAATTACATTTTGGGTGGCAGTTTTCCCTGTGTGTATTTTAATATGAAAATTTAATAAAGAGATATTAAAAAGGATTTTCATTTCAAAACAACCTTGAAATGTCTTTCATAATGACTCCATTACACTAATGATTCAAAAGGGGGAGTTTAGACAGCTGTCTACCAAAATTCTGAGTGTTGTTGCAAGCTTAATAGGTACTAGATAGAACATTTCATCAGGCACATCAGAAGGAAAATTTTCATGAGGGTTTTGTAAATAAAGCATCTTGACAGACCATAAGAAAAAAAACAGTGTGCAAAATATGTTGTCTCTATAGCTGTACATAACTGAGTATACATCATAGAAAATCAGGTCATAGGTCTTTGTATAAGGCTATTTTAGTAGAATTATTACAAGACAATCAAGACAAGACTGCCACTAAAATATTCTAACTTAATGCTAAAGACTATGGATTTGACTCCACACTTGCAATAGCTTTCTATAGAAACAAACATCTGCTAGCACTTCATGAATTATAACACAATCCTGTATTTCATGGATTTTGCAGGTTTTCAATTAACCTTAAATTTATTTAAACACATTTCCTTTTTTATTATTATTCTTATTTTTACTTTTTAAGGAGAAGTAAAAGGAAAAAAAAAAAGACAGAAAGAAGAAACTAATATAGAAAGTGAGAAGGAGCCTGAAGATTAGCTTCTTTCTGGCTGAAAGAACCTGATCTGCAGTCAAAATGTGAGATATGAGGAATTTTTTTTTTTTTTTGGGGGGGGGGGGGGGGGCTCGTAAGGCTATATAATGTAACATTTTCATTGGACTGCACTCAAACTGGGTCTTTGTCCAGCAACAACAGTCTCCTTAAGCTGTCCATTTTTTTTTTTCACATGCACACCTGTTAATATATTTTAAAGGAAATGCTGAAAATATGTTACAAGTAGAGACATAACATATGTCAGTAAGAATAAATGAGGTGATTTAGAATTGTATTAAAAATCTTCAAGGTGCCTGGCTGGTAAGCCATGCTCTAAAGCATTGCATATTGACCTCATCTGGAAACAGGATGTAGCCAAGCAAGACAAATGGCTGCAACTGATTCTTGTCATTCCTATTCTTTGTGTAGCATGCTACACCTTGGCTTTGGTCTTTCACTGTGGAGTTAACATTTGTAAGAAATGTTGGAAAGCATTTTGTGGTCTATGGTGCACTGGGGCAAATGCAGTCAAAGCTCTGCAGGTCTGTGCCTGTTGCACAGTTGCTTGTAAACTTGAGGGACTAAACTCAAAACCCCATTTGGTCCCTTTCAACAGGGAATCTCCAGCTGGGAGAAAAGAGGAAAATAAGAGTGGGGATTTAAAATTGCAAAGGCTGAGAAGTTGAGAAGGAACTTACAGGGACAAATTTTCTAGCAAGAGGAAAAATTTTAAAGCACTTGGCAAACTCCACATTGAAACAGGGAAGTTATTTGCTTTAGAAAGATCCATATATTTTTTTGTATGGTATAAGATAAATGATAATTTTTTTTTTGTGTGTGTGGAATCTTTGTGTTTTCAACTGCCACTTGTATTGTTAAAAATTCAGAATATGCCAGGAGAGAGGTATTTAGGCACATTTGATCTCCTAGGGTACCTTTGTTGCCTAAAGACAAGGCCTGGTAGTATCTGCTTTTTGGAGACTTATTTTCAGAAAGCGTGGGGAAGTTTGCAGTCCTGAAGCAGGGCAACAACAGAGCTGATGGCTGCATTCTACCTAATTGTGGAGAATTTAAAGACTTCTAAGCCCCCCCAAATGCATACAGACGTACAAATTAGCAGAGTATCTACAGAAGTGGTACAGAAAATGATACAAAAATGGCAGTGTTAATTTAAATTCTAGACTGCCATAAATGCAAATGTGAATAGTAGTTATACATCAAAATTGCCATTAAGTTTTTCACCTAAAGGGAATAGTGCACATCTTGAAGTAAATGTTCCCTAAATTATAGGCACTCTGTAGTTATCTATAATACCCTCACTTTACAAACAATAGTGTTTTGAAACATCACTTTCAAAACTGTAATAAACTTAACAGATGTTTAATCAAACAAAAATGTTGAGACATATTAATAAGCTCTGTGAGATAAAATTAGGGATGGGAAACAAAACCTGTAAATGGATACATAAGCAAGCTCACTATTTAATAGGTCTACAACAATTGCACATCTAAGAAAAAATGTTATAAATACTTTCTGCCTGTCATAGCTCAGTACATATGTTAAAGAAACCAAGACTAATCAAACTCTGAAAGATGGGCTGGTGGTCTGATTACCTAATTCACCTGACTATAATTAATTCTTCTAAAATATGCTAGACATTATGGTTAAAACTATCAAATAAAAATCCACTTGGCCACATTTTTTTCATTTACAGCTTAAAATAACAATACTGACCTTGGCGTGAGGTAAGTTCTTGAGATTAATGACCAGCTTGGGTTAATGATCCTTGGCTGTGCTGCTGACCTTCATCTCCTCCCAGCCAGTCATTAATCCTCAGGAAATATACTGCACCTTGATAGTTATTACTTAGATAGCCCATGTGTAAACCTCAAGAACCGTGGCAAATATGTAAGTGGTATTTCACTCACAGAACTCTTACAGCAGAAAACAAGGCAAAAACAGCTTCCAAACTTCTAAGAAGGAGAATGGCAAATCATATGACTTTGGTCAAAGTATTAATAAGAACCTTGCATTCATTGTGTGCTGTTTTCTCTGTATGAGTCCTGAAGCAATTATTGAAGAATACTGCTGAACATGAAAAACGTAGCATTTGGCATTGATTGTCTAGTTCAGGCATTTCTAAAACAGCGATCAAGTTTGTTTTTAAAGGCCAAATACAATATTTGACCTTGATGTAATTCTTCAAAGTACCATTCATTCTTCTTTCACTGAAATACTGCAAATCAAGAAAATGCATTTATAAATGTATAAAATGAGTAAGAAGGAATTCAGGTATTTGCTCCTCAGTTATTTTTCCCTGTCCACCTGTCACATAGTTAATTCCTGCACTTAGCTACAGTTTAGAGATGGAAATTTGAGGCAGAGAAAAGATGTGATTTGTCTAAGACTTTACAAATATCCCCATATGAAGTTACAAGTGGAAGATTAGATTTTTTTTTCTAGTTAACGCTGATATGTGTTCATTCCTGAAGACCATTTTGCCCTTTCTTTCTGTGCTAAAGATCGTGTTCCTGATGACAGTGTGAAAAACTGAGCTGCCTTTCCTAGCACAAAAAACATCAGAGTTCCAGGTTTAGTAACAAATAGGAAGGAGAAAAATAAAAAGAAAGTGATACAACATTCCTTTCTAGAGATTCTTGAATGGGTGGTTCTGGAAAAACAAAGAAACAAGCAAAACCAAAAGCCAGTACCGTGACTGAACTTGAAGACATAAATACTTCATAACGTCAAATCTTTCCCGTTAGATTTGGATCTAGCTGGGCTTCCTTTTCCCCCAAGAAACAAATACACTGCTCCCATGGCAGAGGTGACATGGCTGAGCCCAAAGGCGCCACAAGCCTGGTGGCTGTGCACAGGATGCCAAAGCACAGTCCCTGCCACTGCATCTTTCTGCCACTGGCACAGAGATGTAATTGGCAAAGAAGTGCAGTAGCCCCAGGCTGTGTGCCTCCTGCTGAAATAGCTTATAAATAGATAACTGTGTGCAATGCAGTATGGCAGGTAAGGATGAACACAAAATTTACCCTGCTGCTAATGCTACAGTAAGAAGTCATAGCTGGGGAGGGAGGCTTGTTCTCCATCTACAAGCATCTCTGTGGCAGGAGGAGCAGGAAAAAAACAAATTCTGCAGTCATCTGACTGAGGATAAATCCATCTAGTAGCAGTCAGGGGCCAGGTGTGGCAAGGGCCACTGCAGCTGGGAGAGTTATGGGCTCCCTGCAGGCCTTTTGAAGCTAGCTACTCTGTACTCAGACCCAATGAGACACCCGTTGGAATTGGAAAAACAACAACAAACACCTGTGTTCTTAACCCTTAGGCATTACTGATACGTTTGTAAAGGGTTTTGCAAAGGAGACAGAATCTTATTCAATTTGTAATTGCACATCAACTTACATCATATTTCATTCTTTTTGCCTTTCTTGTTTCATTTGTCTACCTAACTAGGCCATACATTGCCTACCAGCAGTGTTCTGGCTAAAGAAAACTAGATGAGAAGCTTTGGAGAACAGTGGTACTTTAACCACCTAGAAAGATAACCTTTGAAAGACATTTTTTTTCCCCATAAGCAATTGATTTCATTGTCTTCCCAGCACTCCTAGGTCTGCCAGTCTGAAAGGAAAAAGCAAAACCAAACCAAACCAAAAAAACAAAGCTAGGAATAGAAATAAACCAGCTACTAAATGTTTTATTTCCACTGCCGTTTCTGGCTCTGTGCAGATGTGGACTTAACAAGCAAAGGAGTGGTTTTCCCAAGAGAAGCAAAAGCATCAAAATGCAGTTACTTTATAAGGACTGTTGTTACAGCAAAAACATTTTTTAATGAGAAGGAGAAGTCATATTTCTTCACACACTATATATAACTTTATAAACCCTTCCTTTGAACTATTTGCATGCAACGTAAGCTGCATCCAAAGTTAACATTTTATTAAAAGTTTCCCTTCCATGTTTTCATAATACACAACTTAAAACCATATGACTTTTCTCAAGGTCTAGGAGAACTTTACCAAGATAAAATGAGAAGAACTTCAGAAGTTAGTCAAAAGTCTGATTTTAATGCAAATGTGGTTCCTTGTAATAGAGTGGAAGAAAGAAGGGAAAAGATCAAGAACTGCCAGAGTTTATATCTGCAGGCCCTGTGACCTGATGAGGTAAGGATAAAAATCTTCCGTCAGTGGCAAGATGTTCAGAAAAAGAGATGGTTTCTGCTAAGGATGTGTTTTCTGAGGGCAGCAGTGGATGCTTGTGGGTCAGCTATGTGGCAGCTTGTTGCTGTAACAAGGGACAAAAAGCAGAAGATCTGCAGGAGTCAGACAGCCTGACTGCTGGAAAAAAGGAGGAGTGAGTGGATGAATGAACGAAGAAATAGACAAATAGATACACTCCATCTCAAATAAACTGCAGCACCATTGCAGTATACCAAACAGCTTGATGCACATAGTGGACTACCAGATAAGATGCAGATTTTCTTTCACGGAGACTGAAATGTGCAAGTAGCAAAACTTAGTTGTCTCATCTGTTCCATAACATAAACAGAAATGCTTTTTTCTCCATATCTTCTTTGGTCTCATGACATTTCACTAAGATAAGCTTTATCTATTTTTTTTATTCAAGTATTTTTTTCTGATGTCACACTGACATTATAATACGAATGACATTTTTAGAAATGTCAGTGATACAGACAATAAATGTTAATGACTTCTCTAAAAGTCAAAATTATGCATGACTTGTCACCTTTTCAATACTTTTCCATCTCTGTCTGAATATCCCATATCTGAAGCAAACGTACTCAAATATTTGGTCATTAATTACTAGCAGCTAGCTTGAAAAGACTTCTAGAAATGAAGAGCTATTTAGACAAGCAGACGATGTACTATATACTTTTGGTATCACAACAAAAATTTCTTTCTTTCCTCCTTGCAGAAAAGGAATATATGAATGAAGAGCTTTGGTTATTAAATACATGCAACATCGATACATTTATTACTGACAGAAGTAGCTCAGTGCCAACTGAGATTTTCCAAAGTCCTTACTTACAAAGGACTTAAGGATTGTTTCGTGTAATTATGCATTAATGGCAGCAATTTGATGATGTTTATTAAAAGTACATTAAAGGAAGAAGATGCAGAAGATAGAATAACTGTGGTTTTAATAGACTAAAAAACAAACAATCCAATATATTTTCCCACGAGAAAATACAGTAAATGATCGAGCAATTAGACAACAAAAATATAATACATAGTGTTAGGACATTGAATTAAAATTGCCTAGATGAAATTAAATTTTATATACCTTAACTTTTGAATGCTTCATTTCATAACCTTAGTTTTATTTTAGTGTAGTTAAATTGCATAATGCAAATTATAAGGAAGAGAAGAATTTTAAAGGAAGAAGAGAGTGTTTGTATATAAGTTACTATTTATGTGTGTACATATACATATGTGAATTATAAAAAATCACCAAAAACCTGCCATAAAGGTAATGGACATCCCTGCACTAGCAGTAGTTAGTCTGAAGATCTTCATGTTGATATTTTTCTTCTTTGTTACTGGTGATGTTTTACTGCTTCTGAAAGCCTGCTCCAAACAGTACAGATAGATTTCATATTCTCCCTATTATAATCTTGTTTATTATTCTTTGCTGTGAGGAATTCACAGAACAAGAAAGCAAAAATATGGCAGGAAAGAAGATACAAAGGAATAAAAGAGAATCTCACCTGACATCTGAGTGTTAAAGCTGCGTTAATACTAGCAATTTATTCTGGAACTGTAGTGTGTTTTTACAATGACCTGATTGCCTCCATTTTACCATGCATTGATGCAGCTTGTGGAGAAGTTTCAGTCTGTGTGAATGGGCATCACTTTAGAGGAATCTAAACTGGAAGCTTCTCATCAGCATCATGCCAGACCTTGATGGGGATACCATAAGACAGGGTATAGGCTGCATCCATTTGGGAGATCCTCCAGGATTCCTGCTCCCTGCTCATGTCCACTACTGTCCTGTGCCAGTGCTCCTGGGAAATGTGCATATTTCTGTACATTTTGTACCTTTCACTTGCTAAGGTGATGGGGTGGGAGGGGAGTGCTTGAGGGTTATGGAGTAGTTGGGGCATTGGGCTTATAGCTCTGGAGAAGTGAGCACATCGCAAGTCTGGCTGCAGACTCGCTTGCCTTTAGAAATAGTCCCCCTGGGAAGGACTGAGCTGATGTGGCCCTACCAGATATCTCTTTGCAGATGCTGTGCTGAGGCCTCCTCCTTGCCCTGAATGCTCTGGGTGATGGCTAGGGGAATGATGCCATGTCCAGAAGTGAAGTGCAGCTGCCTAAGGCATGTGAAAGACATGCTCGGGCTGAAGGATCTTTGAGTGTTCAGTGGTCATCAGCTGAGGAATGGCAGCCAGTCATGGCAATGCTCTTCTCCACCACCACCTGCATTCTTACAAGCACGAGTTACATGGCCACCCACCTTCAGTGCCAAGCACAGCAGGGGTGCAGGCCTGCCTCTTGAAATCTTTGCCCCAGGCCCTCCATGGAGACTCAGCATGGCACTGAGCTCACCCCTTGGCTCTGAAGGACTGGAGGCTTGCAGGAGCACAGCAGTTCATGTGCAGGATTGCTATCATTCCTGGTTTCAGCAGGCAATCCTTGGATGAGTCCTGGCAAGGGTTATGTCTTCCCTTGATTTTTTGGCCCATTAATGATGGGCTGTCACTGCCTGTGGGGCCCTGGGACCACCATGCTCTCTCCTCCACTGCTGTGGGGAGATGGGTGGGAAGCAGCTGCCAAGAGGTACTGCAGGTAGCTAGCTGCGTGTTATCCTGGGGGAGGCAGCCTGTGGTGGTCAGCACCACCCTGATAGCCAGTAAGCTCAGACCATGCCTTGGACCGGATGGGCAGTAGCATGGCACAGCTATCCAGTAAGATGCCCCTACTTTGTCTGAAGGCACTGCCAACTCACTGGATCAAATCCCTGTCTCCGGCTAGGTACAAGAGGAGATGCCTGGACAACAGCATAAGAACAGGACAAGCATGAAGAGACATTGCTAAAACATCTTCTCATCTTCCCATACCTACAAGTGATGAAAGGAACTGTAGTTTTCTGACTGACTCTTGTTGCCCAAAATTGCCTGCCTGAGCAGCATCCATCCAGAATACCTAAACCAGCCTTTCCCTTCTGATGGTGGGGGAGGAGGACTGTCGCAGCTCTGGCACAGGGAGGGGCAGCTTTGGGCTCTCTCTGGATGACCATCTGCAAATGTTGGTGTACGGAAGCTGTAGAGTGGGGAGGGAGAAGTATGGGGAGGGTTGCACTTCCTGCTGAAGACATCCAAAGATGTGTGGAGTATTTGACACAGTCTTGGAGAGGCCTGTAGCATTAGGGCCTATACAAGGGCCTGACTCGTTTTCTGGTGAAGCAGTAGCAAAGATCCTTAAACCTACCATTACCTAAACCATTAAACCTACCATAACCACCTCCATCAATATGAGGGGATTAGGCAGTCCATTCCCTCATTTACAGCAGAATCAATAGCATCATGGTTGTTCTTGACAGATACCTATGTGGTATGTCCTTAAAATATCGATGATGTAGACTCAGTAATCTATTACAGGCAATCTATTACAAGGCAAATAATAGGCAATCTATTACACTTCCACTTTGTCCTTAAAATTAGAAAGCTCTTTTCAAAATGCCTACTCTAAGTATCTTTCATTTGAATTTAAGCCTGACTCCTTGTTGTCTTCACCAAAGACACCAAGAAAAGAAATTACTCCTTGCAATCAAAGTTCATTATCATGTCTGTCACTTACATTACCTACCTTTGAGTTATCTGTTAAGGATTACATATAAATATATATTTAAATATATTGTCTTTAAATAAATAAATAAATACTGAAAAGCATTTTACTCAAAGGTTACGTGTTAAAATCTACAGCAAGGGCTGTACAAAAGCTCCTTTGCAAATACAACTATTATGTAGCGCTTAATTACTTGCTACCAATTTGAATAGATGCTGCAGTTAAATATGGTCACACCCGATTCACAACATATGTGCCAGAACAAGAGAAAAACAATTAGTCCTTCTGTTCTATTCAAATCACATTTACTGTGGAGAAAAAAAGTTTCTTTCTCCATGCAGGAAGAGTTCTAAAAGGGATTCTTTTTCTCTCTAGCTATGCCAACATTCCTTTCACATTAGGAAACTTGAACAGATTTAAGGCCTCATTCAAAGCACAGTTTGTAGTACAAACATGCTACAGTTGTCAACACACAATGCACAAACACATGGGCAAAAATAGACAGTGGAGCGGACGCGAGCCCTTATTGCTAAACTGCTTGTGGGAGGGGGGAATAAAACTATTTTTATAAACAGCCAGCCAAGCTCTTCGAATTCTCAAAAAGTCTATATTTGGAGTAATTATATGACTATGTTACATCTTGGCTAATTGTAGCAGTCATGTTAAATGATTAAATTATTCAGCCATTTCCCTTTGTGTGAGAAATGGCCCCAGATGGTCACCCTCATCCATTTCATACCAGCACAGTGCAGCAGCACTGCTTATTAAGAGCATATGGGGGAAATATTTTAAGTGCAGTGTAAGTAGCTTTATACTATAGTTCATTTTAAAGAAATAAACAAACTGCAGTAATGCCTTGAATTTTTTATTCCACAAAAGTTCTATAAAATTCTTGTTATATCCGGGCCCTTACAAAATAATTTGAGAAGCTGGCAAAAGAAAGAAGTGTTATAAAAACAAATCACTGTTCTGTATCATTCACAACATAAAAAGTGGTTAAACTAATGTTACCTATAGGATTTAAGGTATACACTCAATAAAAAAAGTTCAGTCTCTATAAAATACAGTTTACCTCAGCACACTTTTGCTTCATCTGCTTGGATTCCACAGGTTAGATTTATAACACAACCAAGGAGACAAGAGTTATTATTGAAATTCCACCTGTCCCCAGTGGTATGTACCCGAAAACTATGCCAAGTCTAGCATGATGTCAAAATGAATTCCCTCACACAAGAGCAGAATTAGCCTAAGTGCAACGATTTGATATTATCCAGACACTCTTAGAAAAGGGAGAACAGCTAAACTGGGCTGAATTTTGATCAGGGAAAATATTATGCAAAAATGAGGTGCTAAGTTTTGTTCTGAATATTCATCTCTGACAAATATTTAATCAGTCTTCTCATTTAGTGCTTAAGTGCAATGGTGAACTGTTTGTGCAATGGGGTGACAGTAATGTATATACAAAGCTATCTTATTGCATCCTAATCAAACAGTACCATAACCTCTAAGTGGTTATGCAAAGCATTAAAGACAATATTCATGGAAGAGCTCCTGGAAGGCTTAACATCAAAAAATGACAGAATAAAACCATACTCACACAGTATTATTGCAATGCCAGTCCCAAGCTGGTATTCAAAGAAAACAAAAATCTCTTTTCTTTATTCATCCATTGGTGGCCATGTGTACTACGGTATTCATGTATGCTATTTTTTCCATAGCATGTCTGAAATAGGAACCATTTGAAAGACAGTTCTGGATTAGATTTTCCAAGTTTCCTTACATTTATCCTTAAAAAACAAACAAACAAGCAAACAAAACAAAAACAAAACAAAACAAACAAACAAACAAAAAAACACGTTATCTACATATAAGTTGGCAGAGAGGGGAGTTTGAAATTGAGTGGTTTTTTTTTGTTTTGTTTTTTTGAAGAAATATTTGGAATTTGGTGTCTTTAAAAGTATTATTTCCTGTAACTGGATGTTTAATTTCAAGAAGATGATCCGTAAAGACTGCAGACTTAGAAAGTCATCCCCTAAGGCCCCCTTAGGAGGTGAAACTAGCCTTCCCTGGGAAGAGGTCTCTCTGCATGGGTGAAGGGACACTGAAGGAATTAATTACAAGGGTAACGTGGGTGTACGTGGTGAAACTGCTTTGTGTGTGTGAGAGACCTTGCAGAGGGAATATCAAGAGCAGGAATGGAAATACACCAGGATGAGATTTGAGTTAGGAGGTTCAGTAGAAAGTGTGAATAGATCTTGAAGAGGATACAACCTCTCTAATGGTAATTAAGGGAACAGTGAGAGTGCCAACCATTAGCACAAGAGTCTACAGTACCCTTTAGTGGCAGTTGTTCCTGATATTAATGGAGAAACAGGTAACTAATTCAAGGAAAAGCTGTAAATGGCATGGTGTGCACAAATCTTTTGTAAGACACAAAAGATTGTCACCACTGAGTGATTTAATGGATGACTTCTGTAGCCTATTGTTTTGTATTCAATTGCTGAATCATCTCTTTTAGTGTCCATGAGGTTTATTAAGGTCAATATTTCTTTCTGGTGTCTTATTGCAATTGAATTAATTAATGTAATCCTTAATATACAGATTTTGAATGGCTATTTTTTTTTGCCCTGAAAAAGACATTTAGGTGAGGATTTTTAGTATCAGCTTGGGCAGATTTGTCAAAAAGACACAGAACAAAAATAGAAAAAAAAAAAAAAAAAGGAAGAAAAAGCTCCAGTATTCCTTGGCAGATGAATCTATAAAGGCAAAGTGTATCTGATGGTTGTAAACAACTTTTAGTGTTCTTTTAATGCACAGATTGGCAGAACACTGTTGTTCCTTGAGAACATAAAATACATATGCGTAAATATTGGAAACATATTGTAATTAAAAATGATGCTTTATTAATAGGTGGTTTGTGGGCTATGTGATTCTCCACCCCTGCAAATTACAAATAGTACAAACAGCCATGCTTCGTGAACTGAAACGGTACCAAGAAATTCAACATAAGTACAATCCATGACATATTCAAATTGGGAAAAAACATCTGTGTGGATAAGTGTATAAACATGAAAATATATGAGATTTTGAACTGAAACTCCAAGAATCTTTATTTCTAAAAATGCAAGTTTCAGATTGAAATCTACATAATTTCCTTAGTAGCATTGTACATGCAATCGTACTTTAAAACTTCTTATGAAGGCTCTGGTGAGACTTAATGTTCTGAGGGACCTCCCTTGGTAAGATTTAACATTCCTAACACAATGCCATTACCCAGGCAGTAGAAGGTGCTCTTGTAACAGCAAACGAGGTTCCTTCATTTGACCGGTTAGAGCTTAAAATTATTCTGCCCCTCATGTAGCCCAGTATTTCAAAAGCAATGGAGCCAAATGATTGCACAACCTAATTGTTTTTAATCAAGCAAGATCAGTTGAAGGTTTAGAAATTTTATATATTATACATACATACACACACACACACACACATACATAAATTCTTTTCAAAAAGTTTCAATTGGTCTCTTGGATGTCTTAAGGCAAAGATTTCTAAATTGTGTAAATATATCCGATTATTGTTAGGATTGCATGTGTTTTTATGTATGAGGAATGGTGTGAGGGACTTGGCTCAGAACAAGTAAATAAATGTCAGTATCACACACGTACTTCATGCAATACTAGTGTTGACATAGACCCTATGGTTTCAGTATGTAACAGAGGCAAGTTTGCAGGATTTCATCACTTTGCCTGGGAGAACAAGTAATTGGATAATAGTTTTCCACGCATTTATTCCAGGTCTTAACCTCAGATAGATCTTTCCATAGAATTTAAACACTGGCTCAGTCCTTTTCCTTAAGCACCACCCAATATTCTGGTACAGTCTGGCTCTACATGACCACTTCCAGCACTTCCACCATTCCCTTACTCTCCTGAGAGTTCAAGTATTCAATAAATTCTTCAACAGAGTAACTTCATGGTCTGGGGACTTACCCCCACTGCATTTACTCACTTTCTCAAGTCCTGTATCTCCAGCAGCTGTCTTGTCCCACATACCAGGAAGTTCTGACAGCTCTGATGGTGAAGAATATTTCACTTTTAAATAGAGGAGAAAAGGTAACTTCTACTATGTTTAGTTCTTCTTTGTATCCTTTAGGAGTGATCAGTGTGAAATAACTTTCACTGTTTCACAGGGTCAGCTGTAACTGCTTTAAAATCTGTGTCTTCAGTCTTCAACAGTAAGAGCTGTGTTTTGGTGGTTAACAATAATGGAGGAAAACTCAACCATTTTTTAGTTGTTTTAATACCATATCTGGTTGCTGAGAGCATATTTATATTCAAGCATTGCTTCAGCTCTACAAAATAGCCACAGCTTTCCAAGTAATTTATATCTCTAGGTAAAAGGAAGCAGGCAATTGTGAAAAGAGCTTGTGACTGAACAGTTGTTGAAGCTTTCTGGTTCTGATAGTTGGGACATGGTTCCTGACACTCAGAGAATGATGTTTGTGGAGGAGAAACAGCTAAGTAACACATCTTAAGTTAGCCAGAACATTTAAAAAATGTTAACATTTTCTTTAGACTTTAATGGAAGAATTTCAGTTCATTCCTCCAAGATCTAAAACAACTTACAGCTGTTACTTTCTGGAGGAAGACGCCTCCAGTATTCCAATTCCGACTATACACAGGAAATACTCATATATTTTCATTCACATCTTAGTACCAGTACACCAAAACTACCATTATTATTTGTCTCCCTCCACTTCTTTTTTTTTTTTTTTTTTTTTGGGGGGGGGGGGGGGAGGGGGAAGGGGAGTGGGATTTTAATAGTTCATGATGCTTCCCTGTGTGAAGAAAGTACAGTGACATTTTATTAAGTTTCAGTCTGCCAGAAGGTTTTAGTGTTAACTTGATATACGTGAAATTCAAGCTAAAATGAATTCTTCTAATTTTGTACCAGAAAGAAAATGCTGTGAACTGCGATTTTATGGGCTTAGCAGGTAATCAGAGCACCCTGAGTATTAGGCCTAGGATGTACTGGTTGGGGTGACTACATTTGTATTCACCTGTGTAGCTAAATGCAGCCTCATTTTCAGGGGGTGTTCAGGCACCTGTAATGAGGCAGACCTGCAAGGGGTCAGGGAAGTGTGAAAGCCTGAGCATTTTATAGTAACTGCAGATGCTTATGAAAACTTTGGCAGCAACATTTCATTTTTGGCCTGAGGTGTTTATTTGATTACAATTAATTGGAAACATAGTTTTGTTAAGAAAATATTTACACAAGTTTTTAAGTAAAACCAGTACCTACCTGCAGAATGGAGCTAGCTTTCTGGTCTACTTGTGGCCTTTCCCATTAAATGTATTTTAAAAGGAAGAGTAATCTACTTACCAAGTTTTAACAATCTTGAATAAGATCTCTTAAATTTCTTGTAATATGAGCAAGTGCTAGTGAGACTACATTAACTGCTAGTGAAACTACGATAATTGCATAATCCTATATTGGCTTGTTATCTTGTTCCATTGTAAATTAAGGCATTTGAATGCAGTAGACGTGGAAATAGGCCACCAAACGAAGTCACACAGGCACAAATATGTGCAGTTCAGAAAAAAAAAATGAGTAAGGAAATCAGCAGTAGGTAAATTTTATCATATGCAGTGAAATCCCACATCCTGAACTGGTAGCCACTGCCAACTGGAAGATTGTTGTACCAGTGACTTGCATCATATATGCTGTGGTGATGAATCTGGCCTGCAAATACATGGTAGACTGTCCTGTCAGCCTCTTCCCCAAGCTCTGTGTGTCTCTATTACTGTCTGTTTTCCTGCTTGCTTACCTTGCTTTTTTTTTTTTTTTCTTTTTCTTTTTTTTTTTTTCTTAGTGAATATGAGAGGAGTAGTAAAGCTGTCTTTTCTTGCAACTTCAAAATAGCCTTACAAATCTTGTAAAAGTGAGAGAAGAGTCAGTGAAGAAGTTATTTTTGGTCTATTTTTTTCCCTGAAATTTAAGAACTTCACATTCTTAGAATCAAAACCAAATTTTAACTTGCCCCAAATTGCACTTAAACTGATACTCTTTCCTGTTTGAGTAGCACCATCACAAAATCTATTTCAAGATCACTTATTTAATCAGCAATAATGATTAGAATAGCTTTTATAGCTGTCCTTTACAATGGAGATCAAAGTATCTTGAGTATCTTTTAAAGCTGTGTCTCCTGATGGATTACAGTGTTAGCAGAATGACAATTCAAAAGTATATGTTCTTAAAAAAAAAACAAACTCTGCAAATATTAAGTGAAATACATGAATTTGTTAATGATTTTTCAGAAGCAAAAAAGAAACTGATATTCTGAAGTCAAGACTTCTAAAAATAATCATCCATTTCAGTGTTGCAGTTTCTGCATATAATCAACTAGAGACAGTTTAAATACAGGATATTTTCATGGAGTGTCTAACAAACACTCTTGAAAGTGTCACAATTTGTCCATTCATAACTGACAATGTCTTAGAATCCGGGTTTACTAATGGAATCATCTCTGCATATAATGAAAGAGACTCTATACATTTCTATCAACCTTTTCTTTCTGATTTCCTGAGGGATTTAATTTCAAATAGTAAATGTAACAAAAAACAATTAAATAAAAAACATTAACTTGGTTTTTGGTATTGACATTATTTCATTTGGAAAGAAAGTCTTCAGTATAGAGCAATTTCATGCAATGAAAAAGTATCCTGAGGGGTATTATCCTTTTGCACTGCAGGGTAGTACATTCAAGGCATACTTTCTTTTTATGCAGGGGAAGTTGGTACAGTAATTCTAAGCATTCAAAGTACTTTCATTTTCTTAAGCACTTGCACAGTCTTCATAAATATAGTACTTGACCTCTTCTAGTATGTAGTGTATAAATGATATCCCTTTAGGCAGGGAAGGACTATTGCTCATTTATAATGACAGGAAAATTCAAGCTCAAAGAGAAGGACAGCCTTTGTTCAGGTTGCTGAAGAGATCTGTGACAGAGCAGGGAAATGAAATGACTTCAGATCAAATATTATGACATAGATGTACCTACTCTCTAAATTCAGTGGTTTTATTTCCTGGTTTGGGCTTCATATGCACTCCTCCTGCATCTCTCTTACATAAAGAAAGCAATTTACAGAAGAAGACACCAAACACAATAAATATTACAGATTTTAAATTACTTTTATGAAAGAACATGTTAACAACGGAGAAAATGTTACCTACCTTCTTACTGCTGTAAAATAACTGAATTTTCACCAGGCATAGGAATAAAGGGGGAAAACAAAACAAAACAAAACAAAACAAACAAACAAAAAAACAACACCTGAAAAGATACAGAAACCTTTAGTCCATTAAAGTGAAAACTAAAAAAATTACCGAACTGTAAAAAGTTCTGATGAAGAACATGCAAGTCATTGCTGCTGACAAATGCAGAAACAGTAACATTTAAAAAGTAACCCACAGTGATTTCATGTTATATTTACAAGGTAAAACATCATTTCCTAAGCAACTTAGATCTAGAACATCCATTGCTATCAAACAGAAAATAGTTATATTTTCTTCAATATTGTATTTTTGTAGGGAAATATTGCCAGCTGTGCTGTGAAAATAATGAATAGTGCCTTGCTGAAAAATATAAAACTATCAGCTCACTGAAACCATTGCTTCTTCATACCTGAGATTATTCATCTTTGAATTAACTGGAAGAATAGAAGGTCCTTATTTCAGACCCTGTTTTAAGTCTTATGTCTGCAACAGTGTTTAGTTTTAAACACTGAAAATTCAGATAATCTAAATTAAATAGGATTCTCTATTCAGGTGGTCAGATCAGTCCATTAAAAATGGCTTTTAACTTTTTAGATCATCAGTGCAGATCCACCTAATTTTCTGTTCAAGAATAAGAATCCTCAGTCTAATTTTTTTATTTTTTTATATTTTTTTATATATTTTTTATTTTTTTGTCTCCTGTAGGTGGTTTTCACAAGGATCCATATAGTCTATACCCCCCTTTTTGATAGTGGTGTATTTTTCAACATGTCCTGTGTGCTCTAACAAATATTAAAATTCATAACATTACCCTGGAAACACTTTTGCAGTAACCCAATTCTGTCTCCTGTAAGTTGCAAGAAAGGTGAACGAAACATCAGATCCATTGTCAGTTTGGCACATCAGCAGACGTCTCTTTGGGATCACAAAAGAATGCTGCAGCTCTGGAAAGGTGCAGCTCCATTGCCATGGGTAAGGGGGAGGCTGCTGACATGGCAGTTAGACATGACAAAGAGAAACCTGAGAGAATCTAGTGCCTCGGAAGAAAAGCTGCCAGCCAAAAGCATGCCTGCTCTGGCTTGTGGTGTGTTGAGAGCAGCCGCTTCATTTAATATGCATACTTTCTTCCCCATCCACTGCTGTCATGTTTATTGCTATCCATGCAAAGCCACTTGGAGATGAATCAATGGAAGTGGCAGAGTTTTTGGGGTCCAGTCCTGCTCTGTGGTTTTGAGGGAGGAAGAGCCAGTCTGTTAGCATTTATGTTCTAAATAGGATTCTCTATTTACAGCCTACCACAGTTGTCCTCATTAGCAATGGTATGCGCTACAGACTAAAAAGATGTGCCAACAAGTTTTTAGAGAAGATTTTTAATGAAAAGGAAAAAAAACAAAAACAAACAAAAAGGAAATTTAAAATGATATGATTACATGTCTAGTCAGTTGCTTCTTAACTGGAGCAAAGATCACTGTATGACAAGGCAAAAGGATTCCAGATTCTACAGGTATTTCCCCCAAAGAGCTATCATGTTCTTCTGCATAATGCAGACATTTTCCTTTTAATGTCTCTGGTCTTTAAAATAATGCAGTAACCCACACGTCATCAAAGAGCAGCACCAGACACCCTCAGATGCTTGGCGTGGCAAAATGTTCAAACAGAGGAAATATGACAGGTAAAATAATAAATTCACCTGAAAAATTATTCCTGTCTCCTAAACTCATTACAACCCCACTCGTTACAAGTATAGACATTACACTTACAGTGCTTGAAGTTATGTTCATGCTTAATTTAACATGAGATTATGCAAATGATTCACTTCTGTATGAACACAGCCTCTGCTGCTTTTAATGCAGGATGGGCAGTGACCAGTGCGTCCCCAAGCTCACAGCACAGTTTCCCTTTGTCCTTTCCCACATGTACTGT